TCCCTACAGTCAAAAACATACAAAAGCCAAAACCAAGTCATAAACATTTAATAGTTTACTTGCTCTATTAAGAAGGCAAGAGGAACTGAGGTAGGTCATTATAACCTACACTCATATGCCAAAACCCTGAATGTACTGTTCCAAACGCACAAGCCAATACACAGATCACACAGCCCTCAAGAGATCCCACCCAAAGTACAACAGTGAGGTGGGTGTCTCAGTTGTTCATCCAGATGCTTGCTGCACTTTTGACTCATGATATTGTCTCATCCGTTCCTCAAGCTCTGGCCGGAAATGACGAATCAGTCCCTATCGGAGAAGAACAACCACAAGGAGTTGTAAGCACATGTATTGACATGACTCCCTTTGTCCTCTTGCCCCTATTCATTTCTAGGCCTTCCATTGCAAAGTTACAAGGTGATCAATATTCTTCAACCTGTTCTTAAGCTAAACAAGGAGAGGAATCCCAAGATGTTACCTGTACAGGCCAGGCGGCCCCGTCTCCCAGGGCGCAGATGGTATGGCCCTCAATCTGCTTGCTAATTTCCCACAGTGCATCAATCTCGGCCACTTGTGCATTGCCTTTCACAAACCGCCACATCACCTTGTTCATCCAGTCCACACCTATATGGGGTAAGTCAAAGAGCCAAATGAAAGTCCAGAGTTTATGACAAGAGAGGTTGTAACTCGGGAAGGGGCGGAGGAAAGAGGCACCAGCCACACACTGACACCAGCATTGTGAAAGGCAGAAATTAACATCAAATTAACTTCACATACCCAAGTTTGGAGATCTGCTGCTGAGCTCAACCTGGACAAGTTACGAGTTCCTAGTTTCTATAGTGCCTTTCTTCATTAAACGTCATAACACTTTATAGATTGGACAGTAGATATTTAATCTTACGGCTCTATAACATTTTTAAATTGTTTGCCTATTAGGCAATTTGACTTTCATTTATGCTGTGTTTTAGCAGCATTTTCCCTCTCTCCTGGGTACACACATGAAACTGCCTTATATGAACCAGACCATTGGTCCATTGGGGAGGGGATGTAGCCCAGCAGCAGAGCATCAGCTTGGCACGCAGAAGGCCCCGTGTTCAATCCCTGGCAGGCACCTCCTGTGAGGGATCGCATGGTCAGTGATGGGGAAGACCTCCACCTGAGACCCTGGAGAGCTGCTGCCAATCTGAGCAGACCAGACTGCCCTTGCTGAGCCAATGGCTCTGAGAGAGCCGAAGGCAGCTTCACGTGTCCAAGGTCAGTCTTGTCTACCCAGAATGGCAGCAGCTCTCCAAGGTCTCAGGCAGAGGAGGTCCTTCACATCACTGACAACTCGACCTTCACTCCTGCCTGCTCCTTTTAACTGGAGATGCTGAGGACTGAACCTGGGACCGTCTGCATGCAAAACAGAGATTCTTCCACTGAGCTGCACCTCCTCCCCTCCCTCCCTTAAATTTAGGATTGGTTTAAACTTACTTTCACAGATATATTCAGGTACAAAAAACCAGTATGTTGCAAAGGGAGGGAACAGGATTAACCACCTGAAGAAATCCTACTCTTGGGCCAGTGAACTCCCATCAACTTCCTTAACGTTTTCGGCAGAAGCCACACATACAAATGCAGGCGTTCTGCAACTTCAAAGGCCGGGAAAAGAGTTCAGGTAAAGTTCTTTTTGTTGTTGTTGTTCAGTCGCACAGTCGAGTCCGACTCTTCGCGACCCCATGGACCAGATCCCACCAGGCCCTCCTGTCTTCCGCCGTCCTCTGAAGTTGGCTCAATTTCATGTTCCTTGCATCTATGACACTCATCCTTTGCTGTCCCCGTCTTCTTTGACCTTCCATCTTTCCCAGCATCAGGGTCTTCTCCAGTGAGTGCTCCCTTCTCATTGGGTGGCCAAAGTTCTACCTTCA